ATGCTATTGAACATCATAGAACAGAATCAACTTGTTTAATTGAAACAGCTGTTAAGATTCATTAATTCCATTTCTCATAAGGTTAACATGGGAAACTCCAGAGCCACTGGGGCGGAGCCGATTGGACGGATCACGAAATTGATGGTGTATAAACCTATTCCATGACATTCTACACGTATGTACCAAGTTTCGTGGCAATCGGTTCAGCGGTGTCTGAGTTTATCACTGCCAAACAAATATATATACAAACATCCTCTTTTATACTTATAGATTCGTTGTTATTTCGTAACCAGCATGGCAACCCATAAAGCACATGTTAATTTTTTTAAATTTCAAATTCATTTTTTTGTGCTTATTTTTGAGCCTATTTTAATTTTCAAAGGGATTCTGCACATCTGCAGGAAAATATCTTTCTAACAGTATGCGTAGATTTTCCCTGCGATACACACGACCTGAGAAAAAAGGTTTTAAAGAAACATGCTTGCCTATTAATATAAAGATAGATAGATACTCATAAGGTTAACATGGAAAACTCCAGAGCCACTGGGGTGGAGCCCGAAAGGATGTTTAAGATATGAATATAGTCATGTGTTAATCAGGAATGTGAGCTATCATCATACCAAATTTCAACCCTGTTGGTTTAGTATTTTTCGCGTTTACTTGTCACAAACCTCTATCCATCCATACATACAGGGCAGCGACCACAGGTTTTAATTCTGTGGTCGCTGATACAGGGTGAGTTTTAAATGAGTTCCCCTTCTACTTTACTTTTTTCTACAATTCTTAAGATATCAACTCTGGACCACGTCAGATCATTGTAGAGTAGTAAGTACTTCATTTTGACTGGGTATAAATTTTTGGCCGCCATCTTGGATACAAAGTTATTTTTTCAAATGTAAAGGTATGGTTGTGACCCATCGTTTTAAACTAGATTTTTATGCTGAATACGATGCTGCAACTCGTTTTTAAAAATCTTGATCCATTCTAAAGTTATGAGAACTTTTTATAACATTATTTTTAGCCCATTTTAACATTGTGCATTTAGAAACTAAGAACATAATCGTAAAATAGTGCTAGATAAAATATAAGTATACACCACATAATATACATAAATCTTTATCTAGCACTATTTTGCGATAATTTACTTAGTTTCTAGGGATTCTAGGGGGGGGGCTGAAAAACGAAAAGGTAAATCAGTCCCGGGTGTAGGTCTTACCATTAAATATACGGAAATTTGATGGTTAATATGAATGAAAACTGCGTTGTGTACAAAGCGAAATAAATCTATTTATTCATTACGCTGGTTCCACAATAGTAGGTTTACACGTTTGTTCTTAATGTCATAAAATCGGATAGTTTTTACCCGAGTTAACGTGCTTACAAAAAATATAAACTGAACGTGATTGAGTTACATTAAATCCAGATCCAGCCCAACACCATTCGGTTTCAATACATGGTATCCCGTAGGATTTGCCCATCGATCGATTGTTTGATATTGATGCCTGACTCCTGACTATTCGAAGTTGTTATTAAATTATAAGCCAATCATCGGTCTCAGGTAAGAGACACGACTCTCGGCTTCTCAAACAATATTTAAGTTCTTTAAAAACTACAAATCAACCAATGAAAAGCAATGATGTTAGCTAGCTAGTCATGTTCTAGCTACTCAAAACTCCCTGCGAGTATCAACGGATACAGAGGACTCATAGTAAACTACCGCGGCTTTAAATCGCAATATTGTCCTTTTTTCACAATAATTAATAAATGGTAGTCTTTCTTTTAGGAAAAGCTTGATTTGGTTTTTGTACTTTATTATTATTAATAAACAATTATACTTCAATCCTTCAATGGATTAAGATTTATCTGTTTTAGTGACATCTAGTGGTGAATATGTGAACTGGCTGCGCTTTGGGTGGCGACATCTAGCGGCGATTGGGCAAACTGTTGTGCTCCCCGGTACCATTGAAATTATCTTTATATCTACACGTGTAGATATAAAGTCAATGCTTTTAGGGACTTTCCACAGGGAATAATAATACCATAGGTCTCATGGTAAGATCTGGGCTCGGGACCGATTTACTTTTTCGTTTTTAGGTCCCCAGACACCAAAAATACCAATCGTTCAAATTCACGGCCCGTTGGCCGTACACCGTTGATAACTCGAGCAAAAATGATTCGATTTTGATGACATTTGTCACAAACGTGTAAACCTACGTTTATTCAAACTAGTTCGCAAACCGGCATGATCGGGCTATGGGAACGGGGGCTTATGGTGGGTTTCATGGGATACAAATTGTTTTTTTCATGTTTGATCTTAAAAACATAAAATTCTCAATTTAATTCTGAACTATTTTGTAGAGCTTAAAAAACAAATAATTTAGTATACGGAAGCATTGTTGTATGCCTGATGATGACGGAGAAAATTCATAAAAGTGTAAATAAAATTCCCACGTTATGATAATGGATAAAAAGAAAACTGTTGTAGTTTTCTTGTTTATGGATATATTTTTATTGAATATTGCGAATTTCTTTATTTCATACTAAACTAATTAACATACAGTATTAATAAAATACACCTTGTTACCTTCCTCGTAGAAACAAACCTTCGTCCTCATTCAAATTAATGCTATAGGAAATTAATGTAACAATCTTTAAATGGAAATCCAACCAGACAAAGGCAATTCGCTTAGTCTGCAGGTTTGCTGTGGTGGGTGTATAGATGCTCCCACCGCTTACCCATGATAAAAGTTGTTGGCAAGCTAATGGGAGAAAGTATGTATCAGATTGTTGATACCATTTACTACATTTATGACATCAGCTAATTATGAACCAACTATAGTAATACCAGAAACAAAAGAACCCTGGGCCGTTTCGAGCCGCGCAGGTTTGAATGGTACGCTACACCTACCGGCGCAAACCACGTGATCTTTTCGTTTCTGCGCAGGTTGTTTTGTTCGTGGTATGTCTATAGCAACAAATGCTGTGGTTCACAATGAGAACTTTACTTTTTTCCATGGTTTAGGTGCAGTGGTAGAACATTATGTCTGTGGTAGATGTGGTATACCATAGTATAGCGTATAGATTAAAAGAACCAAATTGTCTTAAACCGTGTTCTCTCCCATAACTGCAATAAGCATTTTATACTTAATGAACTAGAACGAAAGACGGGAACTCAAATTCATATATATATATATATATATATATATATATATATATATATATATATATATTTATATATATATATATGTGTGTCCGTTAGCACGATAACTCGAGCAAAAATGATCCGATTTTGATGAAATTTGGTATAAACGTGTAAACCTACGTTTATTCGAACGAGTTCGCGATCCAGCGTGATCGGACCATGGGAACGGGGGTTTACGGGAGGTTTTATGGGGTAAAAATAGGGTTTTCCCATTTTTGACCCAAAAAACATAAAATTTAGCAATTTCTTTCCAAACCATTTTGTAGAGCTTAAAAAAACAAATAATTTAGTATATTGAAGCGTTGTTATGCGCCTAATGGTTACGGAGAAAATTCCAAAAAATTTTTAATTTAAAATTCCCATGTTATTCTTATGGAGAATAAGTAAACTGTTGTAGTTTGCTTGTTTATGAACATATTTTGATCAAATTTGGAAAATGTTTTTATTTCTTACTAACTATTAACATTTTACAAAAAAAACAGTTTTACCCTCCCTGATGCAGCAAACCTAAGTACTTGTTACACTAATTCTATTTAAATCGGGAATAATTAATGTTATATTTGTAAGTAGACATTTCAGTGTAAATCAAATCAGTCAAATGGAAGTTCTCTTAGTCTGCAGGTTTGCTGCGGCGGGGGTATTTGTTTGAGTCTTGAGTTGTGATAGTAAATATATACTTCGCAATTTATATTTTAAAGCTTGTATTTTATTAATATTTTGTAACTGGAACAACTCAACAGGTAATAATGGTATGTACTGTATTTGAATTGTTTTGATGAATCGAACCCCTACGCAATACGTCGGAATATTTTGCTGTCCAAATGATGAAAGACATAAACCTGACGACAACAAATATATAAGCCTAAGCCTTTAGGTATTGCACTTAAATTGGAGTTTTAAAATTATCATGAACGTTTGTGCACGTTAAAAACTTTTATTTCTTCGAATAAATATCACAGCACGGCATGACGAATTTATAAACACGATGTCCCAATAACTACGGTACTCCTAACTCGCATTGAAGTCCAAACTATTTGCTCCTGAATGATTCTTAGACTACTGAGAATCGCATTTTGTGAAACCTCGAGCTCTACTGTATTAGAGGTGGCTGTGGCTCTACTCGAAGTGCCTTAAAAATGTCCATCTTACACTACTTATGAACTCCATATTCAATCATTATTTAACACACATTTTTTTCATAATTAGAACAGTCTTGTTAGTTCATTTTTACTACAAATAAAACACTATAACAAAGACAATTAATGGCTGAAAAGTAAAAATCATAATTTACCAATTATGTTGTTATGACGCGTGAGCTATGATCATGTGCAGAGTTTGTCCAAATCAATTAAACGTTTTGGCGCTATAGAGTCGTCCAAATTTAAACTTTTATTTAAGATATTTTCGCATTTATAATAATAGTTGAATTCCTGTGATCAAGCAAGACTTAACCTCATTAAGTTCAGAGTGAATTGATAAGTCGAGTCTCAAACATCTAAAAAACTTAAAAATTCACATTATCATCAGAAATCTAAGGTAACTTGATTACCAAGTAGAATTAGGCTTTGAAAAGACTAAAACACTATTTGGAGGAGTAAATATCAACAAAAACTAAAAGTTAAAAGTACTCTATTAAAATTACTACTGTATACTTAACTCTCACATGAGTGTTAAGAACATGAACTAATTTGATCAGGTCTATCTAGGTTTTGGTTAAAAAAGTTGAAAAGAAGTGTATGTCATAAGTTCATTCTTAGTAAGGTATCAAACCGTGATAATCTTGTTTTGTTTTTTTTAGAGAAACGGATGACCCTGGAGAGAGCTACAAGGGGAAGCCGGACGGATATCATAGGGACCAAGAACATGAGAATGGAACATGGAAAGGCTATACTATGTACAAAGATACGTGTTTGAAACCCTCTGTATTACAAAAGATGGAACCTGATGCGCTTTTATTATTAGTTTCATTGGATTCGCCAATTTCATATACAAAATCATATAACTACCAAAATGCTAAACTTAATTCGTTAAAAATAAGAATGAACAGAATGCTTCTGACAAAACACTCTGAACTGCACACTTCGGACGGCCCAACTGGACATCGAAACACTATTTTATCTTATAAACGTCAAGATCAACGGATAGCTACTGAAAGACGTGATGCTCGATCTCTTAATTCAGAACAACGAGACATAAGGATCTCTGCTGATCGACGTGAATTACGAATCCTGTCTTCTGACCGAAGAAATGCAAGGATCTCTGCTGAACAACGTGAAAATCGCTCTGTCGAACGACGTGAATCTCGCTCTGCTGATAGACATGAAGCTCGCTCTTCTGAACGACGCGAAGCTCGCTCTGTTGATCGACTTGAAGCTCGCTCTGCTGATCGACGTGAAGCTCGCTCTGTTGATCGACATGTTGCTCGCTCTGCTGAACAACGTGAATCACAAATTCCATCCTCTGGCCAAAGGTATGGAAGGATATTTGCTGAACGACGTGAAGCTCACTCTGCTAAACGACGAGAAACTCGCTCTGCTGAACGACGTGAATTACGAATCCTGTCTTCTGACCGAAGAAATGCAAGGATCTCTGCTGAACGACGTGAAGCTCGCTCTGCTGAACTACGTGAATTACGAATCCTGTCTTCTGACCGAAGAGATGCAAGGATCTCTGCTGAACGACGTGAAGCTCGGACTGCCGAACGACGCGAATCTCGCTCTGCTGATCGACATGAAGCTCGCTCTGCTGAACAACGTGAAGCTCGTTCTGCTGATAGACGTGAAGCCCGCTCTGCTGAACGACGTGCAGCTCGCTTTGCTGAACAACGTGAAACTCTCTCTGCTGAACGACGTGAAGCTCGTTCTGCTGATAGACGTGAAGCCCGCTCTGCTGAACGACTTGCAGCTCGCTTTGCTGAACAACGTGAAGCTCGCTCTGCTGAACAACGTGAATTACAAATCCTGTCTTCCGACCGAAGAGATTCAAGGATCTCTGCTGAACGACGTGAAGCTCGCACTGCTGAACGAGGTGAATTTCGCTCTGATGATCGACGTATATTACAATCTCTGTCCTCAGATCGAAGTGATGCAAGAATCTCTGCTGAACGACGTGAATCACGATCCCTGTCCTCAGATCGAAGAGATGCGAGGATCTCTGCTGAACGACGTGAAGCACGATCTCTGTCTATAGACAAAAGAAAAACGAGGATCTCAGCTGAACAACGTGAAGCTCGTACCACTGAACAGCGCAAAACTCGATCTCTTAGCTCAGATCGACGGGACACCAGGATCTCTGCTGAACGTCGAGAAGCTCGATCTCTTACCTCAGAACAACGAGACGCAAGGATCTCTGCTGAACGTAGAGAAGCTCGATCTCTTACCTCAGAACGACGAGACGCAAGGATCTCTGCTGAACGTCGAGAAGCTCGATCTCTTACCTCAGAACGACGAGACGCAAGGATCTCTGCTGAACGTAGAGAAGCTCGATCTCTTACCTCAGAACGACGAGACGCAAGGATCTCTGCTGAACGTAGAGAAGCTCGATCTCTTACCTCAGAACGACGAGAAGCAAGGATCTCTGCTGAACGTAGAGAAGCTCGATCTCTTACCTCAGAACGACGAGACGCAAGGATCTCTGCTGAACGTCGAGAAGCTCGATCTCTTACCTCAGAACGACGAGAAGCAAGGATCTCTGCTGAACGTCGAGAAGCTCGATCTCTTACCTCAGAACGACGAGAAGCAAGGATCTCTGCTGAAGGTAGAGAAGCTCGATCTCTTACCTCAGAACGACGAGAAGCAAGGATCTCTGCTGAACGTCGAGAAGCTCGATCTCTTACCTCAGAACGACGAGACGCAAGGATCTCTGCTGAACGTCGAGAAGCTCGATCTCTCACCTCAGAACGACGAGACGCAAGGATCTCTGATGAACGTCGAGAAGCTCGATCTCTTACCTCAGAACGACGAGAAGCAAGGATCTCTGCTGAACGTAGAGAAGCTCGATCTCTTACCTCAGAACGACGAGACGCAAGGATCTCTGCTGAAGGTAGAGAAGCTCGATCTCTTACCTCAGAACGACGAGACGCAAGGATCTCTGCGGAACGTCGAGAAGCTCGATCTCTTACCCCAGAACGACGAGACGCAAGGATCTCTGCTGAACGTCGAGAAGCTCGATCACTTACCTCAGAACGACGAGACGCAAGGATCTCTGCTGAACGTAGAGAAGCTCGATCTCTTACCTCAGAACGACGAGACGCAAGGATCTCTGCTGAACGTCGAGAAACTCAAGCTCTTACCTCAGAACGACGAGAAGCAAGGATCTCTGCTGAACGTAGAGAAGCTCGATCTTTTTCAAAACGACGAGACGCAAGGATCTCTGCTGAACGTAGAGAAGCTCGATCTCTTACCTCAGAACGACGAGAAGCAAGGATCTCTGCTGAACGTCGAGAAGCTCGATCTCTTACCTCAGAACGACAAGAAGCAAGGATCTCTGCTGAACGTAGAGAAGCTCGATCTCTTACCTCAGAACGACGAGACGCGAGGATCTCTGCTGAACGTAGAGAAGCTCTATCTCTTACCTCAGAACGACGAGACGCAAGGATCTCTGCTGAACGTAGAGAAGCTCGATCTCTTACCTCAGAACGACGAGACGCAAGGATCTCTGCTGAACGTCGAGAAGCTCGATCTCTTACCTCAGAACGACGAGACGCAAGGATCTCTGCTGAACGTAGAGAAGCTCGATCTCTTACCTCAGAACGACGAGACGCAAGGATCTCTGCTGAACGTAGAGAAGCTCGATCTCTTACCTCAGAACGACGAGAAGCAAGGATCTCTGCTGAACGTCGAGAAGCTCGATCTCTTACCTCAGAACGACGAGACGCAAGGATCTCTGCTGAACGTAGAGAAACTCAAGCTCTTACCTCAGAACGACGAGAAGCAAGGATCTCTGCTGAACGTAAAGAAGCTCGATCTTTTTCAAAACGACGAGACGCAAGGATCTCTGCTGAACGTAGAGAAGCTCGATCTCTTACCTCAGAACGACGAGAAGCAAGGATCTCTGCTGAACGTCGAGAAGCTCGATCTCTTACCTCAGAACGACAAGAAGCAAGGATCTCTGCTGAACGTAGAGAAGCTCGATCTCTTACCTCAGAACGACGAGACGCGAGGATCTCTGCTGAACGTAGAGAAGCTCTATCTCTTACCTCAGAACGACGAGACGCAAGGATCTCTGCTGAACGTAGAGAAGCTCGATCTCTTACCTCAGAACGACGAGACGCAAGGATCTCTGCTGAACGTCGAGAAGCTCGATCTCTTACCTCAGAACGACGAGACGCAAGGATCTCTGCTGAACGTAGAGAAGCTCGATCTCTTACCTCAGAACGACGAGACGCAAGGATCTCTGCTGAACGTAGAGAAGCTCGATCTCTTACCTCAGAACGACGAGAAGCAAGGATCTCTGCTGAACGTCGAGAAGCTCGATCTCTTACCTCAGAACGACGAGAAGCAAGGATCTCTGCTGAACGTAGAGAAGCTCGATCTCTTACCTCAGAACGACGAGACGCAAGGATCTCTGATGAACGTCGAGAAGCTCGATCTCTTACCTCAGAACGACGAGGTGCAAGGATCTCTGCTGAACGTCGAGAAGCTCGATCTCTTACCTCAGAACGACGAGACGCAAGGATCTCTGATGAACGTCGAGAAGCTCGATCTCTTACCTCAGAACGTCGAGAAGCAAGGATCTCTGCTGAAAGTCGAGAAGCTCGATCTCTTACCTCAGAACGACGAGACGCAAGGATCTCTGCTGAACGTAGAGAAGCTCGATCTCTTACCTCAGAACAACGAGACGCAAGGATCTCTGCTGAACGTAGAGAAGCTCGATCTCTTACCTCAGAACGACGAGACGCAAGGATCTCTGCTGAACGTAGAGAAGCTCGATCTCTTACCTCAGAACAACGAGACGCAAGGATCTCTGCTGAACGTAGAGAAGCTCGATCTCTTACCTCAGAACGACAAGACGCAAGGATCTCTGCTGAACGTCGAGAAGCTCGATCTCTTACCTCAGAACGACGAAACGCAAGGATCTCTGCTGAACGTAGAGAAGCTAGATCTCTTACCTCAGAACGACGAGACGCAAGGATCTCTGATGAACGTCAAGAAGCTCGATCTCTTACCTCAGAACGACGAGAAGCAAGGATCTCTGCTGAACGTCGAGAAACTCGAGCTCTTACCTCAGAACGACGAGACGCAAGGATCTCTGATGAACGTCGAGAAGCTCGATCTCTTACCTCAGAACGACGAGAACCAAGGATCTCTGCTGAACGTAGAGAAGCTCGATCTCTTACCTCAGAACGACGAGAAGCAAGGATCTCTGCTGAACGTAGAGAAGCTCGATCTCTTACCTCAGAACGACGAGACGCAAGGATCTCTGCTGAACGTAGAGAAGCTCGATCTCTTACCTCAGAACGACGAGACGCAAGGATCTCTGCTGAACGTAGAGAAGCTCGATCTCTTACCTCAGAACGACGAGACGCAAGGATCTCTGCTGAACGACGAGAAGCTCGATCTCTTACCTCAGAACGACGAGAAGCAAGGATCTCTGCTGAACGTAGAGAAGCTCGATCTCTTACCTCAGAACGACGAGATGCAAGAATCTCTGCTGAACGTAGAGAAGCTCGATCTCTTACCTCAGAACGACGAGACGCAAGGATCTCTGCTGAACGTAGAGAAGCTCGATCTCTTACCTCAGAACGACGAGAAGCATGGATCTCTGCTGAACGTCGAGAAGCTCGATCTCTTACCTCAGAACGACGAGAAGCAAGGATCTCTGCTGAACGTAGAGAAGCTCGATCTCTTACCTCAGAACGACGAGACGCAAGGATCTCTGCTGAACGTAGAGAAGCTCGATCTCTTACCTCAGAACGACGAGACGCAAGGATCTCTGCTGAACGTAGAGAAGCTCGATCTCTTACCTCAGAACGACGAGACGCAAGGATCTCTGCTGAACGTAGAGAAGCTCGATCTCTTACCTTAGAACGACGAGACGCAAGAATTTCTTTTGAACATCGTGAACGAAAAGATCTTTTAATACCTTCTGCTGAACAACGAGACACTAAACACCTTTATGCCATGAGAGACGATGCTAAGATTCGCGATAGTGAGATTGATGTTGGTGTACCTGTAAATGACCAACTACCAAGTGACTCTAAAATGTCTTCAACAGCATCTGTCTTCTTCACTTCCGAAAAGGACTCTTTCATGATCATGTCAGATCCAAATACCCATGAAACCGTTCATAATTGGTTTTTGAATGTAATTTTTACTGGATTGAATGTTATTATTGTTGCAGCACTGCTTCTTCCAAACAATGCAGAAGGAATTAAAAAACAAAAGGTATGACATAAATTGTATTAAGATTTACTATACTCCATTCACAAAAATTAGTTGGTTTTAAGGGAAAGAAATCTATCCTCTTCACGTCTTGATCCCACCATTAAAATATAGCTCAACAGCTGAGATTTGTCAAAACGTCAAATCAGCTGCAACATACATAGAAAAGTGTGGTGGGGGAACTTTCCTTAAAACCGTTTAAGTATTGTGAACGGAGTGTATACTTGTTGCAATGTTTTTATATCCTAAAAAAACTTTTAAAAGTTGTGTTTTCTGCTATTATTTTTGTATGTCTGGTACTACAGGCAGTTATGTATTTCTACAACCAAAAACTGAATACGGTTATAATAATCTATCTATACTTATTTAATACGCAAGCAGGTTTTTTGTGACAATTACTCCTCTGAAACTACTGAACCGATTGACATGTTTTTGGTGTCATTGGAAAGAGCGTAACGTGAAGTTGTGCAGGAAACTTTCTTTTTGGGGAAATAAGTAGAGAGTGGGGCCCTGGGGCCCTTTAAAGTTTCGTATTTATCCATAAGATTAACATGGGAAACAACATTTGTTATGGAACTCCAGCTGTTGTCAGAAATGAAAAGTGAAATATTTATTGATGGTATCCATGGTAACAAAGAACAAGCCCACAACATTAAAAAATGTAAACAAGCAGAACTAATTTATTGTCAAATTTATTTTGATTTCACAATTCCACACAGCTGGTCCAAACATATTAAATACTGCATGATTATTAGAACAGGAACGGTATGGATCATAAACATAAATAAAATGTGTCACTCGCCCGAATGTAAACATTTAAAATTGATTAAATGGAACTGTCAAACTATATGTTAATGTCATTAGCATGGGATTCTTTCAGTTACGTCATTTGTTGACCGAGTCTGCCTACACAAGATTTAAAATTAATCAAAACCAAAATGGTGGTATCCACTACTTACCAGATTTAAAAGTCATATAACTTAAACGTTTCTATTAAGGCTATAAAAGTTGAATTTTGTTTCTAAAAGCGTTGGCGGATGTGTAACTATTATATGCAACAGATGTAAAGATCAAAATGTTTTTTATTTTGTGTCCTCTTCCCGTTGCAAAGCACGGGTACAACAGCTATAGGTTGGCCGCTTAGAAAGCGTCCTCCTCGTAGCATTGGTGCGAGTGAGAGATACCGAGCTGTGGGAGTGAGACAGAATATGGCTCTTCCCCCACTCCGCTACCACCCCACCCCCACCCATTATTTTATATTACCTTTTATTTTACCAAATCATATGTTTTCTTGTAATCTTCCAAAGACTTTCGAATGACAATCATTAGGAATCAGCATTGAATATAGTTTTAGTTTTATATATCGAATATAGCGTTGTATTCAACATTGAATGAATATACTGTAGTAGTGTTATACAATATAACACTACTACAGTTATATTGTACAGTTATATGGTACCATTTAACCGAAAAACAGTAAAGCAGTAAATACTTCATTGGCTGATTGGAGGGGTGGGTGATGTGCGTGCACACACCTTATTTTATACGCTTGCCATCCCGGGTCCAGAGGTATTACCATGAGTACTACCGTAATAGCTTATACCCATATAGGAAATTCACTAAAAGGCCGTCACTAAGATGTGTGATCGTTGGTGGCAACGCCATTGTAATTGCAATCACGTTATATGCGTCTTACACAATCGTGGCAACATCCGCGATAATCTCCTGCGATTTTCTCAGCTTTCATGACTCTTCGTGATTGCGGCCATATCTTAATCGCGGCGAGATTCGTGATGATTGTCCATATCGCGGCAACAGCCGTTGCGGTGGGTCCTGTATTCGTGATTGTTTGCTGTGGTCATGATTTTCCACTTCTTAAAACGAGAGAGGCCATTCGGTAAGCGTATAGTAAATTTTTGAAGTTATTAAGAAAAACCATAGTCCGAGGGGATCCTACGGGTTTAGTAGTTTAGTGCTTGGGTTTAGTGTATGTCATTTTAGTGTAATAAAATCTCGACAACTTACGCTATATGTCGTTTTGTTCTGTTTTTGTTAAATATATGTAAAAAGAATCTTGTCAATTTATTTGTAACTATTCATTTTCCACTAAGGCTACTTAAATGAGAGATTTTCAATTATATAAAACATAAGTAGGAGCTGCAAAAAAGGTTCCGTTGTGATTATCTGTATGTATAACACCATTAAATAGATTATTATTCTAACTAATCTGTAGGGATGAAAATTAACCTTAAAATTCGTGTAACTGAGCAGTCAGACATTTTCGGCAAGCCTCTTGTTTTCGGGCAGGCCTGCGAGGGACTGCTGTTTTCCACAGCATTACGAACTCTGTCGAATGTTCATTGTCTGGCATACGATCTGACTTTGGTCGGCCTTTCAGCTTCCTTTTCAACGCAGAAGCCGTTGTTCTAAAGTTAGTAACCCACCGCATTATTGTTATACGCAACGGAACTTCTCCATGTCGCCTTAACACGTTCCCTACCGACCGTCACACTACTCTGTTACTGAGGGATGAGTATAGTTGGTAGCTAAAGTGTTAATTGAAAGAACGCACGAAACTGCTTATGCTGCTGAGTTGCAATGAATGAATTCAATACTTTAAAAAAAAAAACAACTCCATAACAACCTCACGTAGCTCAGGCGACCACTGCTCTGTGACTAGAAAAAATGGCATTGTGTAGACTTTCCAACGAGCTTACTCCCACCACTTTCAGACAACCTGTCGCTGAACAGTGCTCTGCAGAAAATGGATCGGTTTTTTTGCCGCACCCTGTACTGTATAACATTATGACTATATTCAATATTGAATACAACACTATTTTGGATATAAAACGCTAAATAGTGTTATATATTCAATGCTAATTCTTAATGATTGTCATTCGAAAGTCTTTGGGAAATTACAAGAAAACATATGATTTGGTAAAATAAAACACGTTCAGCTAGCACGTGACGTCACTATGCACACATTTTGTGAAAACAGCAATTGGCGGAGAGGGGGAACGTACCCTCCCTCCCCGTTACCTCCCCTACATGCGCTAAAAATTTCGCGCAGGTCGTTTTCTAAACGGCCGACCTATAGTTACTTATTTAATACGCAAGCAGGATTTTTGTGACAATTACTCCTCCGAAACTGCTGAACCGATTGACAAGTTTTTGGTGTCATTGGAAAGAGCATAACGTGAAGTTGTGCAGGAAACTTTCTTTTTAGGGAAATAGTTAGAGAGTGAGGCGGTGGGGCCCTTTAAAGTTTCGTATTTCTCCATAAGATTAACATGGGAAACAGACATTGTTTTGAAACTCCAGCTGTTGTCAGAAATTAAATATTAATAATTGGTCTCCATGGAAGCATGAGAAAATTCACAATGTTTACATTTGCTTTGACATTTAAATGTAAACAACCAGAACTGTCAAATGCCTATTTCACAATTTCAGACAGCTGATTTAAAAAAAAATTAAACAACTATGTGGTAGGTTTATTTAATCTTAAACTTTATGATAGATTATTTATTATAAATCTATTTCAATGATTATGAAACAGATTTTTCCTGTTGCGAACCAAAAATTAATAGTGAGAAGAAGAACATATGTTAACTGTAAACCGTCAACGTGTAAATTATCTATGTTGTATTAAAAATGTGTATAGTTTTGGATATATTGGTTTGCGTTTAATGATATAAGCTATTAGTTATTGAATTTTTATTTTAAGGATTTGGCATATGAGTAAGCCTACGATAACACCATTTCAGATCGAGTTCTGCCAGTTTTTGCCTAACTTTCCTGTAGAGTTTAAAGTAGCCTACACGTTATTTATTGTCTAAAAATTGGCTAAATAACTTAGGAATGGTACTTTATAAAAACTGACAACCTTTTTACATTGACTTAAATTGTAAGCTTACCTTTTCCCGTCGATGGGCAGTTTGATTGTTAATAATTAACCCTTTAAACTGGAATAGTACTGTTGTGTAAATTGTGAGTATTTCCATTAGTTAATAAACTTTTAGTTGACTCTTTTAAAATCATCGGAAATTATGACTGTTATTAGTTTTTAAACAAGTAATTTGTTTATGAATAACTCCTGTACTTCTTTGCAATTGCTCGATTTCGAGCAACATGTACACTAGTACAATATTAAATGTACACCTGTACCTTAATTCATTACATTGTACCTTAATACAATATTAGGTCTACTATAAAAATAATGTTTTATTTTTTTTTCAGAATGCATTCTTTGGATTTGAAAAACAAAACTGGTAAGAAAACTCTTCATACTGAAATTTAGGACTATAGCTGTATAGCATACAATGTGTTTTGAACCAACTAAAATTAGTGACAACAAGCTTACATGCTGGTAACCCTGTTTTTTTCTTTATTTTATTTCATTGCCGATCAGATTATATGCATTATGTTGTATAGTTATCAATAAAGTTTTGCGTTTTTGGAAATTTATTGTAAATAAGACTCAACATGATATTTTTGCAAGCCCAAATAAATAGAGTATGTATTGTCGGTCTACATTTATTTGTTTTCTACAGATCAGGTTTTCTTGGATTTTGACAAGTCTATAAAAAGTATAAACCTGGAAACGAAGCGTTAAGCCTTTCAAAATAAAACCAATGATTTATGTTAACGTGTTCTACTACGGTACATATTTATATTTCACTGTGTTAAGGGTAGTTGCGAAGTATAGAGGTAAGGTAAGAATAATATAACAGACACGGTATGGATCATAGACATAAATAAATTATATTACTGGCCCGAAAGTAAACAATATTTAACATTGCTTAAACAGAACTGTCTAAACCAATGTTTATTAGTATAGGATTCGGGCCAGTTATGTCATTTGTTTATGTTTATGATTCATAGGCTACCACTAATATCCGGTGCACTAATATCCGTGGTACTGTACCTAGAATCGTGCACTCGCACAGTAAGGAAGTGGAGATAGGAGATACAGATTAATTGTACAGTTTGATTTAAGAATATCTAATATTTCATTGCTGAATATTAAATATTTAACAGTGTTAAAGAACAGTTGAAAAATTACCGGTATGCATAATTAACAGCTGGTTAGAGACTCATTTGAAAAGGCCACACTAAAAAAACAGGCCGTAATGCTAGTCAATCATGATGTCACGATAGAAGACGGCAATGACGTAATTAAGGTTATATTTTTGTTTTCCATGAAAAGATTAAAACAAGCAGCTGATCACAAACGGTAAAAATACGTCATTGCCGTCTTCTATCGTGACGTCGTGCTAGACGAGCATTACGGCCTGGGAACCAGAAAATATTATATTCACTTAGCCTAAACGTTCACTTTAGATATAGAATCAACAAATTACTGGAGTCATTCAAATCGATAAAACCTGAATACAATAAATTTGAGGTTAGCGAACCGAAATATTTACCATGTGTGGGGTTTTTTTTCTGTTCCCTGTTTGAAGTATTAACCGAAAACGACGAATTTACGGGCGATTTAGAGAACTAAACACGGCTGCTTTCCGGACAGTATGATGACAAATTATTTTATACTTTTACTAGACATTTAGATATTGTATGTTTTCAGGATGACAAGACTGGCTGGCTGTGTGTAAATCAAATAAGCTCTTCCTCTTCTACGACTACATCTGTCTACATACTTATTCATGTCGTATCAAGTAGTTTAGATAATGTGACGTCATTAGACAAAGTAGTGCTGCAGCAACACCTTTGAAAATGCTTTGTTTATTTTCATCATGTTTTTGAATTATTGATTCCTTTACAAATCTTGAACTGCTTAGACTTAACAATACCTGTAGTAGTTAAAAGACTTAATCCAAACTGTAACAAAATTCTTCCCATTCTTAACCGGAGAGAGAATTGATAATGTGATATTAGTGTAGACTGAGATGATATTTTTCAACATTAGTGGATAAAATGACTATCAAAGTGGTTACTGTTTCGTATTCTGAGCAATGTTACACGTGTTATAGATTGATATTTTTGTAAATACACAAAAATAACATACTTTGTGATTGGATATTCAGAGATTTATTATCGTTGTGTCAAATGTTTTGAGAATAAAATCTTATATTTCTCGTTACAGGCAATGTTACCATAGCTAAGGCTGTTTGATTTATTATTGATTCTTAGCTAATATAGACTTTAGCATGTGACTCAACCGTAGTGTAGAACTATATAACTATGTGTTTCTAATAAATGTTAGCAAAGTGTTTGGAGTTGTTCAATGATCCTTTCTTCCTTCTATATGTTTATAAATGAACAATATCTGACTATGTTACGTTTTTTACAATAACTCAAGGTTTTATTTGATTGAAATTAATACAAAGGGGTCCATGCGCAAATTGCACGTTTAGGGTTCAAACCCCAATTCCCAGGTAAAAATAACAATGCAATAACGTTAGATTGTATTTAAATCCAATTAAAAAAAAAATAATTCAAAATTGTTCAATTGTAACTATGCTAATGCATTTCATTTACTAAAATCTGTATCAGTTTCTATTGTAATGTCGAAGACGACGCAAATGAATAATCAGAAGTATTTATAAGATTTGTTTATGCTATTTTAAAAGACTTGGAGGAGATTTACATGAATTTACTTTTCGTACTTATCCCAAACAGCAAAATGTATTGATTTTCAAACGTGAGCAAGATGTACACATATATCAATTAAGTTTTGTATCTTGATTAACTTCTGCAATTCATTAACAAAGATTTTCACAAAAAAATACTACTTTTAAGTAAATTTTGATCAAAGGTGTCTAACAAAATGCCAAAAATACAACTTTTTTATCCTGTAAAACACAACTTCTCTACTCCTAGCTACTGGAAAATGCATAGGCAGCCTCCTCATTAAAGCTATAAAATATAACCAATTACAAAATCCAAAACATAAAACCTTAGAGGGTCACCACAATTTCAAAATCCCCACACACACACACACACACACACACTTACACAATTCCAAATTTGCATAACAGCCTACCAACGGAGACAAACTAAACTAACCACTATTGCATGACCCTGTCGTAACTAAATGCGTAACCACAGTTGAGGGTCTTGCAGATAGCCTACTGTAAATGTAATTAGGCTTTAATTCCCAGTGAGAGATGGTCAAGGTAGCCTCAAAGGCCATGAGTTTTGGAGGATGAAGATCCTGAGCCTATCTAGTGTTGAACATGTTGTCTTCAGTGGTGGTAGTGGCAGCAATGTTGCTGTATGTTGTGGTAACACTGGGTGAAGTTGTACAACCTGACTACTCCAACTCCCAGATGATCAGGGTCAACAATGTTACTGTTGAAGATTTGGAGGCAACTGGAATAATGGGCGAGATGGATGGTGAGGTATTTTTTTAAACTAAGATTTTAAAGAAAAATATATTTTCCTACAGTCACCCGACAAAGTTGGCTTCCTTGTACTGTTTATAGTACAGAAAGCTGCTAATTGCTGCATATTTATACTTTGCCGTACGGTTTATACTTTGTCGTACGGTTTATACTTTGCCGCACATCAGGATTCCAACGAAACAACACAAAACAGCGTGGTTCTATTATGCACGTAATCAGTGTACGCTTGGAAATAGGTTGGCAACACTTAAAGATAATAATACTATGAGCAGCTGATTGACTATTATAACTACGATTTAACCTGTCATTTCGTGTTTATCGTTTCGGTATTTCTGAACTTTCTGGACTTTTCTTTTAAACGTTTTAAAAACATTCCTACGATCTTAATAAACAAGAAAATACCTTTAAAGCATTTTTTTTAGGCGCGGAAACCACTTCAAATTACAAAACCATACGGTACTATATTCTCAAAACGCGGAGCACATTTCTTGCCGAGGAAAAATAGCGGAGTGATACGGACCGCGGGTACTACTGTCTCTAGGGCACCATTTGTGTTGCCAGCTGAACCTAAAAACGTGTTGTATAGTGTTTGAAAGACTAATTATTTATATGCTTTATAGTGACTGTAGGAAAAATATAATGTGTAACACGAGTGAAAAAGGCCTTTGCTGCACTCGAGATCATTCCGCACACGCCTGCGGCTCGTGCGTAAACATTGCTCTCGTGTGCAGCAAAGTGCCACTTTCACCACTAGTTACACAAATAACTATTTCGAAACGTTAGATTGGGAGTATTTTTTTTTTAGATGAGAGAAACGTTAAGAGAGGTTGAATTAATAGACTAGTATAAAGATTAAATTTCAGGATCGAATCGAAACCTATTGAATTAAATATATATATACATTTCAAAAGAAAGTATAAAGTAAAGTAAGTAAAGTATATATTTTAATAATGGAATAAAAAGTTCCAACAAGAGTGTTTAACTAAATGCAAATATAGTATTTGTATATTTCTATTTAACTCAAACAAACGTACCTAACTCGATAGCTGTTTACCATGATTAAGAAAATATATTTTAAGTAACCAAATAATTACATCATTCAAAATTGTTATTAAAAAATATTGTGCAGTTGAAATTTGATGCATATATTCCCACAAGGTACACATACTAGACTTCGTATTTTCACTGACTTTTACTCCTTTAGTTGTTATGATAATTATAAGGTAATAAACAAACCTGAGCACAGTTCTCTGGGGGTGAAAAGGGCACATGAGGAAGCCTGTACCAATATCTTGAAAGAGGAGGAGAATCTTCTGCGATATGAACAAGTGTTACCAAATTGTGACTTCCTACTTTCCGTGGATCCCAGGAAATGGCTATGTGTCAAAGTCAAAAATACAGATGATTCCTAACTCATTAAGTAGAGGATTTAACAAAATTCAATCACATTCGGGAAGGAAAAGTATGCAATTATCCAATGAAAGATCATTCGATTAGGAAATAATTCAGCTTTTGTCGATTTAAATGTAAAATATTACTCATGAACCATTCTGACAGGTATTGACATAGTGGGTGCTGCTGGTGACTCCCTTGACTTGATGCTGATGAACAACTCTATCGCTATTGAAGATATAATGAATATGAACATGACTTACAAGGTTATGGTTGAAAATGTTCAAAAAATGATCGACAACGAACTAGAAATGGATGTGGTAGCAAACCAGACTAGTAACATTACTTGTGAGAAAGGTAACTACTAAACACGTGTTTAAGAGCAATTGAGCAACTAAATTTACAACAAAGTTGTGGAATGGGGTTTATTGCCTTTAGTTATCCATATCTATATCTCTATATCTATATTTATAAAAGAGGAGGTTTAAGAGGTGGTGTCTGTCTGTCTGTGTGTGTGTTTGTCACACACGAATTGAGAACCTCCTCCACTACCCGTTGGTAGTGGGGAAGTCGGTTAAAAACAAATTTATTTTCTGTTGTTGAAAATAGATACTTTCTGTACTGTGTGATGATAAAATCTTTTCTCAATCTTATCAGTTATCATCACAATTAAGTCATTTAATAAAACCATTGTAAATCAAAATAACTCTTTTACTGATACAGCCTACTTAAAATAGAAAATCAGTACCGGTATTCGTAACGAGTACAGTACCAATAGAAATTGCAAAATATACATAATTCATTTTTAAATCATGTGTACTTTGTGTTTTTACACCAGTTGCATTATTTTGATATACAAAACTGTAAAACCATGATACCATAGTTTTATTTAGCTAGCTTACAAAGGTAACCAATAGATTTTTAGGAACGGTGTTTTTACAAATACAGGATCTTGCTTCACTTGGGACAAATATTACCGACTAGACGTCATCTTAAGATACTTGGAATATCTCGAGAGGACTTACCCACAACATATGACTGTTGAAACCATCGGATACTCTGCTGAGCATCAACCTCTCATAGTGGCAAAGATAACTACTGGCAGCAAAGACAATGTCTCATCCAAGGCTGTTTGGGTGGATGGAGGTTAGTTTGTTAATACTTTAGAGGGCAACATTTTTGTTAACAAATTGCAATGTTTCTCATTTTGATAGTATTAGAATACTCCTGGTTGTGATCAGTACGGTACACAAAAAATGGGTGGAGGTTCACGAACTCCAAATTTCACCAAGTCCAATAGCATACATTTTAAATAGGGGAGCATTGTTTCACGAACTCAAATGGTATTAATTTAATAAGCAGTTAGCACTAGCAGAGCGTTTCACGAGCTCCAAAGTTCACCATTTCCAAAAGTACAGTCCATGCCAGAAGTTACTGCAGGTGTTGCATAGGTCAGATTCCTGGCAACGCACGTTCTGCGTTGTCAGCCACGCACCACGAATTACGAAACAAACACCATTGTGGGTCCGTTAATGCATTACAGTATAAAGAAATTAGTGTTGATAACCTTATCCAACCTAACCTGACCTAACCTTGGCGGGCGCGGTGCCTGCAATGCAATCTGCCAATCTGCGGGAGCGTGACAACTCCTTCAGTAACTAACTAGCCGGGACTGTACTTTTGGAGCTACCTAGTGATTTTTCGAGCTAGTAAAACCAGCAAAGTCTAAAGCAACAAAATTAACCCCTGTCAAAAAAATAACAAAATTAACTGTTCATCAAACACGAATAGTATTTAATATAAGTAGAGCGTTTTAACACGGATAAAACATACTCCGTTAGGACATTTTTGAAATTTAGAGTTCGTGAAACGATTATTATTTAAAGTTTATGCTATTGGAATCTCTCTGTTTATTTAAATATTTACTATTTGAGTTGGTAAAATTTGGGGTAAACGCTCAAAAAAATGGAAGATGCTTTAGAAGATCATAAAAATTATCAAATTAGCTAGAGAAACTGGATTAAACATACTCGTATATATTGGTTAGTCTAAGCTACTCTACCCTGAAACATTATTGAATAATAATTAACAAATAATTCAAATAAACTTGAAATACGCTTCCCAGCCACCATTAGCGTAACTAGAAGATAGGACAATGTAGGGCATATTTATATATATAGGGAGTGTTTTACTTTTGTTGTTTACTTGTATTTGGATTTTTTCATCCGACCGATTTTAAATCAATTTTAACTACTTATTTATAAATTATTTGTTTTCCAGTGGGATTATAAATTATAATAACTGGAGAGTAAAACACAAATTATGAAATCGAGCCTGAAAGCGCTCAAACATCGCAAACACTAAACTTCAAATTTTATAATAGCATGAGAAGTTTATTTGAAGGATCCAAGGTCAATGAGTACGCTTACAATTATTTTTGAATCCAGTTACAACACATTTTATTAAATAACATA